AGGAAAAAAAAAAAAAAAAAAAAAAAAAAAGTGGATCTAGGGGAGAGATGCTGCACAAGGGAAGGCCTTCCTCGTTCAAACTGTTATGGTCATCAAAGACAAGGAAATCCTGGGGAATTACTTTAGATTGAAGAAAACTGGAAGGCACCAGTAAAAGTATCTATGATCTTGACTAGATTTTAGGTTAGAAAAGAAAAAGGAGACACTGTGGGGAGACTGGAGAAATTGAAATGTGTCCTGTAGATTAGTAATGAGGTATATTAATGGTTTAAATAACTGCACTCTGGAGAGGAGAATGGCTACAGAACAGTATGTACAACTGTTTGTATAAACTACGTTTTAATTAATTAATTTTGGGGTACTGGGGATTGGACCCAGAGCCTTTGCACTGAGGCATGACTCCAGCATTTTTTTTTAAATTTTTGAGATAGGGTCTCATTAAGTTACCCAATCTTCACTCTCAAAGTTCCGGGATTATAGGTGTGCACTACCACACACAGCTATATCTACATTTTCATATGATACATAAATAGGACAGTGTCCTTGCTCTGAGAAAATACACACTTGCCATAAATGGCTCAGGAAAAGCATAAAGATAACTGCTGAAAGAAAACATGTAAAATGCTACCAACTGGGGAATATGGGTGAAGTTTGGGGATTCTCTGTGCAGTTCTTGATGCTGTGTGTATGTGACGAATTTTCTGAATGCCAAACTTTAGACTTTAGATAATGTTCCAAACTCAAATGAGCACAGTTGCTATATAAATGTTATTTTTATTTTTAGTTTTTAATTTATTTTTTATTTTTTTGGTATCAGGGATCAAACTTAGGACCTTGTGCCATATAAAGTCTCATGCACAAATACAATTGATATACTGTACATATTGTTCTTCAAATTGTTTCTCACTCACTTGAAAATATCTGGTTTTGTTCCATCAGTAAATTTGATCTGATACTTTTTTTTTCTGTTGAAGAGTACTCTATAAATTGGTATATCAGAATTTGTTATCATTCTATATTCAGGCTGTCTCCTTTTTAATTTTTAAACAAACACTAACAATATAAACCTTTGTTATCCTTCCTTATGCATATATGGAAGCATTTTGATCCAGTTGATATGGAGAATGTGCTATAAAATTTAAAATGGTTCAATTAGTCTCTAGACTAATTGTATATGAGTTGTATTATCAATGATCATCTGAGTACCTTTTTACACATAGGCCTACCAACAATGAACAGCATTAATCTCCCTTACCCACCCCATAAAACTCTGCAAAAGAAAACTAAAAAAAATTTTTAAAAAAGCTTTTGCAGAATGTGTAGAGCACACATTTTATTTTTTACTGAGTGTGGTTAAAAATCTTTTCACATATGTGTTAATCATTTGTGTTTTCTTCAGAGAAATGTCTATTCATGGGCTTTTATTGGCTTGTGGATGTTTTTAGTATTTTGTAAGTGCTACTCCTTTATTGTATATATGGCAAACATTTCCTCCTTATTTCTCTCTTAATTTGGTTTTCAGTTTCATTGTCATACAGAAATGTAGTCAGCTTTTCAGTATTAGAGGCTGTATTCGTTTCCTAAGATTTCTGTAACAAAGTAGTACAACTTGGATGGCTTCAAACCACATTCATTCCTCACAGGCTTGAGTGTGAAATCAAGGTGCACATGTGGCTATACTACTTCTGAAAGTTCTAGGAGCTGACCTCTCCTTGCCATTACCTGGCTCCTGGAAGACACTGGCAATCAAGTGTTTTTTGGCTTGCAATGATGTCACTCCAATCTGCCTCCAGTGATTGTGTGTATGTGTCTGTATCCAGATTTCCCTCTTATAAGGACAACAGTTAATGGATTAGAGCACATCCTGAGAATAAGGTCATTTAAAGATCATCTGCAAAGACCCTATTTACATAAAAAAGATCAAATTCATAGATACTAGAGGTTATAGCTTCAACACATATTTTCAAGAGGAAGAGGCACAAATGAATTCATAACAGAGGCTTTGCTAAGGACTTTCATGTTTATGTTCGTAAGAGAGACTACTGTGTATCTCTCTGCAGGGTAATTTTTTTGCAACTGCCATGTCTTTGTCAAGTTTTGGTATCAGGATTCTTCTGTTTTTGTAAAATAAGTTGAAGTATTCCTTCTGCCTGTTTTAAAAAAGAATATTAAATATCAGACAGAATTCATCACTGAAGTCATCTGGACTAGGATCTTTCTTTTTTTTTTTAGTACCGGGAATTGAACTCAGGTCCTTGCACTTGTGAAGCAGTGGCCGGAACCACTGAGCTAAATCCCCGGCCCTGGACTAGGATCTTTCTTTGTGGGAAAGTTCTGAATAAAAAGTTGAGAGTCTTTTAATAAAAGAGGGTCATCTTTTCCCCTCATCTGAAGATACTGCCCCTAAGTATCCAGTATTGCTAATGTGAAGTGAGATGTCTAATTCCACTACTGCACATAATGATTTTTCTCTTCATGAATGTTTATCTGTGGAATTTTAAAGGATTTTTTACTTTATCCTTGGTATTTTACACTTAAAGACGGTAGAAATGTGACTCTATTTCCATTCATCCTACTTTGAACTTAGTGGACCAAAGTACTCCATAGACTCTCATGTCCTACATGTTTCTTCTGTTTTTTAGAGTTTCTTCCCTTATTTTTCTTTTGTGCCTTTCTTCAGATAAAGACTAATCCTGGAACGTCTAGATCTGGAATCCCTTTTTTCTAACTTCTGTTATATATGCTCTAGCTCTGTCTTTTTTCTCTGCAATCAAGAAGAATTATTAAAAGTCTTCTTTTGGCTACTCAGTCTATCTCAGGAGGTTTTCATTTTCTGAATTTTTCTAGTGGATTCTTTTTCTAACAGTGTATTCTTGTTTTGTGAAAGCTACCATCTCATTTACCTTTTGAAGATATATTTCCTGAAAATTATGTTTTATTCTTTTATTGTTTTCTCTGATGTCAACTACCTTAGTTCCTATGATGCCCATAAGAACTCATCATATTTTCTCACAATTCTGGAAGCCAGATGTCTTAGATCAGTATTGTTGAGCTGAAATCAAGGTGCTGACACAGCCAAATTCCACCTGGAGGCACAAGGGGTGAGTCTGTTTCTTGCCACTCCCAGCTGACAGAGGCTGCTCCAACTCCTTAGGTTGTGGACAGATCATTACAATTTCTGCCTCTGTGCTTCTACTGCCTTATTCTCTCCTGTCTGTGTCAAATTTTCTTCTGCCTCTTTTTTTGTAAAAATACTTGTGAAAAATCCAGGATAATCTGCCCATCTCAAAATCCTTAATTTAATCACATCTGCAAAGACTTTTTTTCACATAAAGTGCCATTTACAGGTTCCAGGGACTAGGATTTAATATTTTTAAGAGCTGTTATTCAGTACACTATAGTAACTTTTTCACAGTATTTACTTTCTTAAACTGTTCAGTAATTATTTTTGGCTCCCTGCTCATCTATCTGTAGATACCTTATATACTGATCTCAGCTTTACTGCCGGAGTTGTCTGAAGTGAGGGGGGAAGCGCAGGTGTTTAGTCTTCTGGGCAACGACAAGGATTTTCTTCAGGATATCAGGAAAATATAAGAGCTCTGTCAAACTTTCTTTGCTTCCAGTATATCCACTTGTTTCCACTAAACCCCTCTGCTGGCTGTAATTTGGTATAACTTGGATAAGATTGTGAAGATTAAACCACCTTGTTCCTTCATCAAAGAATTACCCCAGAATTCCTTCTTTTTGTAGTATTTGCTGACTCTAAAATTGGAGAAAATAAGTTTCACCTATCTTTTTCAGTATTCTTCTATGTTCAGGTTGGTTCTTTTTTCAAATCTAATCCCAACAGCTTTCTTTCAAATTTCTTACAATTTTTGTGCCACTGAGACAATTATTCTTCTCCTAATCATAGGTTTTTTTGCTTTTTGGGTTTTTTTTTTTTTGGTATCTGGGATTGAACTTGGGACCTTGCACTTGCAAGGCAGGTGGCAACACAACTGGGCTAAATCCCTGGCCCAAGAGAATTATTCTTGCTTTCAAACATATTTACAGTTGCCTTTTGTGGTGGTTTTTAAAATTCTTTCCTCCAAAGATTTGAGGAATACTTGGGAGGTGGTATGTGTCCCACAGACACTCGTAGTTCAAATTTCAAGCCACTTTTCAACTATCTTTGGTTGCTGGCTTGAACCACCAGTCATGCATGTATCACTGATGGTTCAGAGCTGTCTGGCAGTAAGACATACAAAGTATGGCCTCATCATGAACGCGTTAATGCCTTTCCCTTACATGACTGCAATCTTATCCTTGTATGTGTCATAGAGAGCTCTGACAACTTACTTTGTCTCCTTAAAACTTCTCATTGTATATTATTATATAACAAGCCATTTTATTTTCTTAAATGAGTCAAGATGAACAAGTACAAAGAAAATGTAACAATGGGTTGAGAAAAATTATACAATAGAGAAAACACTTCTGACAAGTCAGGCATACTGTGAAGGTCAGCTTCTAAGATGAAAACTACAGTGGTATCTCAGTTCATGAACACTTTTGTTTGCAAACAATTTGGTTTGCAAACAGAAGCATTTGGTAAAATTTTGTTTTTGTTTACAAACTCAGAATCGGATGACAAACATGACTGTGGCCATCTTTCCTACACGAACACAAATGTGGCCATCTTTTCCAAAATTGTAGATGCAACTGAGTTCGTGAACCAAAGAACCACTGGTATTCTAGTTTTTTTGAGATTGATTACATAGATTAGAAAAATTTTTTTCAAGTAGATGTGCTTTACCACAGAACAAGCAGAACTGTGGAGGTAAATGATTTAAAAAAATGAAAACCAGGGTCAAGGATTTAGCACAGTGGTTCCACTGCCTGCTGAACAAGCACAAGGTCCCAACTTCAATCCCCAGTACTACAAAAAAAAAAAAAAAAAAAAAAAAAAAAAAAAAAAAGCCTGCTGTGTACAGTTCCATTTTTAGAATACAGAAAATAGCATGACTTTGATTGGATCATTCTTGGGTTAACTACCACCATCTGTGGCAGATGTTTGCTCTTAAACAGATGCCAACCAAGTATATAGGGAGCAATTTAAATTTAATATTTACAATTAAATGTGAACCTCATTCCAGATCTTCTCAAGTGAGGAGTTATAAATGAAATAAGTGTTATTTATTTAGAAGTATAAATGGAGCAGTAATTGATATCTTAAGTATATCAGACAGTTAATGCAATTTTAGATGAATACTAAAGCAGCACCAGCAGAGTAGTTAGCTTGCATGAGTCCTATTCCTCTACAGTCTCATTTACTGGGCATCTCTGTGGTCTGTTTCATTATTTATAGTATCTCTCAGGCAGTGCTTCCCAGCACCTTCACACCATGGTCCACGTAGAAAAGGGTAACATAGTAACATCTAACTGAGGTACACAGGGGAGGAAACTCAGGCTGAGACCTGGCTTAGACACTTTTGCTGCCCCGGAAGCTAAATGGGGCCAATGTCAGTGCACCTGTAACCCACCAGGGGCAGGCTATTAAGCCTTGGGCCATAGTTTAGGGAGGTGTGAATTTACCTCTCAAATTGTGATCTGTGAACTAATACAGGTGAGGCCAGTTTAAAATGCAAGCTCTCAGGTTCTTTCCCAGACCTACTAAAGCAAAATGTGTGTGTTAATAAGATCCACAAGTGATTCATATTAACATTACACATTAATATTTAAGAAGTACTGCTCTAAGAAACCTTCAGTATTAAAAATTCTATGAACCAAAGAATTAATCTGCTTCACGGAAGTATATTCCACAATCTTTCATTCAGTTCCACAATGCAGAGTAAAAACATTTTGTTCACAAGTGTTCCTAATTTCTGAAAACAGAAAAATGTTTACTTAAGAAAAGGGAAATATATTTACCTGCTTGTACACCTGTCGTAAATACATGATTTCCTCCACAGTTCCCAAGGATACCAGCCTAAACACTTTCACATCTCTGCATTGTCCAATCCTATATGCTCTGCAAAAGAAATTTAAAACAAAAATTAAGTAAGATAACTTTCAGTTTAAGAGTCAGTTTTTGGACATAAAAAATGGAGCATTATTAATATTTTAATTTAAAAATGAACATTTTGTTAGCTAAGTCATATCATTTAGCAACAATGCAAAAATGTATATTCAAATAGAGACTAGTTATTGAGAAAAATATTACAGAAAAAAGGCACATATCAACTTTATTTCTTTTACTATCATCACTTTCTAATGTCCAAAACATCCTAAATTCAGGTTTTTCTTTAATGGCACTCTATATGAATAGATTAGTCCCAAGTGATTTAACTTCTATTAAACCCCTCCAACTGTAAACTAATCCATAGTGACAGAAAGCAGATTAGTGGTTGCTTGGGGATATGAGGTGGGGCGGGGCAGAGGGATAGATTACAAAGAGCAGAGGAAAAATCTGGGGTGTGGTAGTTGTTTTCATGATCTTGACTGTGGTGATAGTTTCACAGATGCACAAATATGTCAAAACTTACCAACTGTGCACTTAAGTGCAACCAGTTTATTGTATGCCAATTATACTTTAATAAAACTGCATAATGGTAAAATTTAAAAAAACCTTAGGGAAAAGTAGTTAACCAACTAGAAAGTATATGGAAGTGCAGATTTAGAGTCCACATCCACAGTGATTTCAATTCAGTGGGTCTGACTGAATTCAGTGGGTTGACTGGAACCCCAGGTATTCTGATACGGATCACAATACTAATTCCAAGTCTAACCTGACTCACCAGTGATTAACCACGGGTCTATTCCCTATAGCTTTTCATATGGGGCATTACTGGATGCTCTAGATCAGGCCACCTGTTCCTAAAAGTCTGTCACAGCTACTGCTGGGGTGGGGGTAGGGGATATACAGGGGCAAGGTTACATGATTACAAGTGTTACAGTTAAGGAGAAATTTATTTTCAAGTTTGTAAGGTCACTGTGTATGTCATTATACTTGGTGGTCCCCATTCCTCCTCACAGAGGACTTCCACTTTGAGGGCACCCCCGGTCCTGCAAATCTTATAACCCCCAACAGGGAACCAAAAGCTCCCGTGAGGAAGCACAGCCTGAGGTCAGCTGTGCATTCTCTCTCAGCCTGCACCTGGATGGGGAGGAGAGGGACTCACAATCCCTTTTTCTCTCACAATAAATTTGGACTCAAAGAAAACCAGAAATGGATCTAAGAAAATGCTTTTTGGATGTGCACTAGCCCACTGCTTAGTGAACAGAATAGATTGTTATAATGCATCCGCTTTAATCTTTACAGACAAAACTTTCTTAGAGTTACTTTGTACCTATGCTTCCCTCAATAAAATAAGAATTTATAAATGATGGATCTTTTGCCTTGTAGAAACAAGTATTGAGGGAATGCCACACAATATGTAGGTCACAGTAAGTATGCACAACGTTGATCTTCACTTCTCTTGTTGATTCCTCCTGCCAGCATCAGCAGGAGAGGGAAGCAGGGGAACAGGAGTACAATGTGCTTTGATGGAATAATTGGAAAAACAAAATAATAGGCTTTGATGACCTAGACAAAAATACAAAATTACAACAAATGTCTTAACTTTAGGGATGGGGTGCACAAAGGCTGCTCTCCAGTCACACTACACAGATGCTGACCCTGCCACTTACTGGCTGTGAATATGAACAAGTTACTAAGTCACTGTGTCTTGGCTTTCTCACAACTAAATGGGCAACAACAGTGCCCATCACTTACTAATACTGTAGGCAGGAGGTAGCTAAGAACAGTTCCTGGTCACAATAAATATGATAAATATAACTGCTGTCTTTATGCTTCGAAAAGTACTAGTATAAAGTTGTACACAGATGTACAATATAATAACTATAAATATAATTACTGATTAGTAAGTCTGTTTAAGCTTTTTGTGCATAATTGCTTTTTCTCTCAGGATAGAGTTTTCAGAACTTTCCCTCAGATCAGACTCTGTTTATTTTTACTTTGCGAGATAAGGTTGGCCTTGAGCTCACTATGTAGCTCAGATTGAGCTCTCACTCATGGCACTCCTCCTGCCTCAGCCTCCCAAGTGTTGGGATACAGGTATGCACATGCCTGCACTCAACTTGTCAGATTAGACTTTTCAAAAATTAGACTATTTTACTTTTTTCAATTAATGATTTAAAACTTACATTGTCTGTATTATTTGAATAATGTAATAACACAATTTCTCTATTTTAATCTTGTTTTTCTAGTTTTCTGTTATCTTGTTTCATTTATTTTATTCTTTTTAAAAAAATTAATTTAAAAAATCCAAGCATCCGAATTTATAATGATCTAATTTCATTGGTATTTACTCCTACATAATCAGTTTTTCTCTCAATTTTTTTGTAGCACAATGTACATATTTAACTATTTTTAAGTTTTATAGTTCAGTGTCATTAACTACATTCACACTATTGTGTAACCATCATGACTACATATTTATAGATTTTCATTTTCACAAACTAAAATTCCTTACCCATTAAACAGTAACTCCTTTCAATTCCCTGGGTGACTACCATTCTACTTCATCTCTAAGAATTTGATTATCCTAGCTGTAATATGAGTGAAACCATACAATAAGCTATAAAGAAAAGAAAAAAAAACCCAGAAAAACAGGCCTCCTTTTCTTATCACTGATAAGAAGGGAAAAACATCATTCACTCTCAAGTTTAGTCAAGTGCTTTGTTTCTATCAATTAAGATAATCACTATGTTTTTCCCCCCTTCATTAATGTGGTAAATTATAGTGACTGATTTCTGAAAAATGTTAAATTATCACTGCATTCCAGGAATACATGTTACTTACAGTATCATCCTTCCAACATGTTTCTGAATTTGGTTTCCTGACATTTTATTGAGCATTTTTTGCATTAACATTTACAAGAGCAAATTGGAATACAGTTTTCTTGTGCTGTCTTTGACACTGGTATTGTGGTATCACTGGCATCACAGAATGAATTACAAAATGTTTCTTCCTCTTCAAATTTTGGAAGAGTTTAAGAATTGCTATTAATTCCTGTTTGGTAGAAATCACTAGGAAAGCTATCTAACTTGTCTGGGGCTTTTCTGTGCTGAGAGGTTTTTGATTGCTGTCTCAGTTTCCTTACCCAGGTGTAGATGTACTCAGGTTTTGTCATTTTATTTTCATGATTTAGTATTGCTAGGTTGTACATTTCCAGAAAATTGTTCATTTTACCTATGCTGACTTGTTGGTATACAACTGTTCATTGTAATCTCATAATGCTTTATATTTTGGTAGTAGTCTACAGTAGTAGTAATTGTAGCAATGCCCCCTTTTTAATTTCTGATTTCATTTATTTGAACTCTTTTCAAATAAATTCAAATAAATAAATTTCAAATAAATCTTTTATTGTACCTCTTTTCTCTGAGTCAGTCCAGCTAAAGGTCAACTTTCATGTCATTTTCAAAAAATCAATTCTTGGTTTGGTTTTCTTCATTTTTCTCTTGTCTCTGCTCTCATCTTTTTCTGTTTCTTTTGCTAGTTTTGGGTTGTTTTTGTTTGTTTGTTTTTTCCTAGCTCTAAAAGGTGGAACATTAGATTGCTGAGCTGACAAATTTTCTTTTTTAATGTAAGCACTAATAGTTACAAATTTCCCTTAGCCCTTCTTTCATCCTGTAAGTTTTAATATGTTGTGTTTCATCTTGAAGTATTTTCTAATTTTCTTCGCTCTTTCCTCTTTGACTCTTTAGAAGGTGAAAAGTGTGTTGTTTAATTTCCACACATTTATGACTATTCCATTTTTTCCTCTGCTCATGATTCTAGTTCCAAATAATTGCAAATGGAAAAAAAATATTATATGATTTCAATCTTTTAAAATTTACTAAGGCTTGTTTTGTAATAGAAAATACGGTCTATTCTACCAAACATTCCCCATGCACTTGAAAAACACATATTCTGCTACTCTCCTATTAGAAGGAGACTTCTGTTGATGTCTGCTGATCTAACTTTTCTGCAGTGTCATTCAAATCCTTTGCTATTGATTTTGTCTGGATGTATTATCTACTATTAAAAATGGGATTATAAGTCTCTTATTGTTGCTGTACAGCTAGCTGTTTGTTTCTTCAATTCTCTGCTTGCTTCATATATTTTGATATTTGGTACATATTTATAATTGTTGTAGCTCCTTGGTAAGCTGAGTTTTAACATGCTCACAATAGGGCCGTCATTTGTATATTGTCCTACTGGATAGCTCTGAACCACGAGCACTACATGCATGACTGTTCAATCAGGCAGCATGAGACAGTCCCATCAGGAGGCTTGTACCTGATTAGACAGTCATGCATGTACCACTGGTGGTTTAAGCTGTCAAGAATGTGTTAAATCATTGTATAATGTCCATCTTTTTTTCTTCTAATAGTTGACTTAAAGACTATTTTGTCTAATAATATAGCTATCTCTTTTCTTTTTTGGTTAATATTTGCATTGAGTATCTTTTTTCTATCCTTTCACTGTCAACCTACACATGTCCTTACATCTAAACTGAGTCTCTTACTAACACTATTTTAAATCTGTTCTGCAATCTGTATCTTTTGATTTGGGAGTTCAATTGACTGACATTTCAAGTAATTAGAGACAGGGAAGGACTTACTTTTGCCATTTATTTGCTTCCTGTGTCTCCTATTTTGTCTCATTTCCTCAATTACTCTCTTCCTTTAAATTCAGTTGATATTTTAGTGCCACACTTTTATTCCCCTTGGCTCTTTTTATGTATACTCTATACATATTTATTGTAGTCATCCAGAAGCAATAACATACCTCCTAAAGTTCTAACAATCTGTATTAAAACTGATACCAATTTACCTTCAGTTGCATTTATAATCTCTATTCCTATATAGCTGCAACCAATCTTTATATTATTGATGTTACAAATTACAACTTTATGTACTGAGTACACATTGGCAGATTTATAAATTATTTATGCAATTGTCTTCTAAATCTTTTAGAAGATAAAA